CGGCCTCATTTATTCGGCTTTTCCAACAACCAAGTCTTCGCGGTAATGTCGTTCTCTGTATTCGCGGTAATGTCGTTTTTTGTGTTCGCGGTAATGTCGTTCGCGGTAATGTCGTTCGCAGTAATGTCGTTCGCGGTATTGTCTCGCGGTAATGTCGCTGTATAGTTTTTTTTTCGTTCTATCAAACAGATAAATACGTCGGAATGAATATGATTCCTACTTACAGTGAACAGAAAATGCTTTAATAAATAAATATGAGAGCTATAGCTTAAAGCTGTTTTATTTCATTTTTTTCGTATAAAGTCCCATTACTTTTGTCACCAATTCTTTTGGTAACACTTGGCTTCTATTCTTCTCAATGTACTACCATAAATAAGATTTTCGCTTTTCTTCAATGCTTGATAACTTCGTTTGGCTACATCGGTCGGTTCATCTTGGAGCGGTGTTTGAGTAGCTACGATATCAGCATCATGACAGTTAAGTACTTATTAGTGTCTGTTGAACCAGGAACTAATAGAGTAACAGTTACATCAGTATCTTTTAACTCGTGAATTAAACAGTCAATATTTTGATATAGTCGTAAAATTAAATGATGATGAATTCGATCAGGAATATTTAGCTGCATATTTGCAAGCAAAGTTTCTATCTTAGTTAGATCAACAAACAAAATACAGTGAATTGAAGACACACGTTATGTCTTATTGTCGAACTCATTTACCATCTTATATGATCCCAAGGGGCTAATCATTTATTTTGTCATCATTGTCTAAACTTGCTGAATAGTTTTATTAGTGATCTGGTATTTTCATTCAGACAAGTAGTATGTAAATAGTCCATATCCGCATGGTTAATAATGGACATGCTACTTAATTCAAACGGTAAAGTTGACCGTAAAAGACTGCGTAAGATTTTGCCTGAGCCAGTGTCTCAGATTTCGAATGGTAACACTAATCCACTAGGAGCTCGGTTACAAGAAATGTTTATTCAGGCTTTCCATTTACGCCAATCGGATTTTGACAGAACTGTTTCTTTTGGTGAATTACGCCAACAGCAATACGCCAACAGTTATGTCCTCCATTTTCGATAGATTTGTTATTTTCTAATCCTTTAGTTCGTGGATTGGCTTCCGTTTTAGAATTGAAAATGCTTGAAAGCAATCTTAGATTTGATCAAAACAAGCTTGTATGTTTGAATAGCAGTGCAGATGTATTATTTGATAACAAAGTTAATCGTCGTCCTATGGCTGCCATCATTAATCATCGAAATATTATACGTCATTACTTTATTCCATCATATTTGTTTTCAATATGGATAACTATGATAATTACGCAATATGCTGATCTTTTCTTGTCAGTTTCCTACATTAGTGAAAGTAGTGAAATTCATATCGTCCAGTGTACTGATTACAGTTGTACAATTGCTGCAATATGTCGTTTGGAAACGATTATTGTTTCCAAATGGAATGAAGTCTGGTAGAGCGAAATTATATTCATGGCAATGTTATTGTTGGTGGTTTCTTAATCGTATATGGCTATTGAATTCATCAAATCTCAATGCTTTATTAGGTACACCCTTCTATAACTTTTATTTACGTCTCTGTGGTGGAAAAGTTGGCAAACAAGTCCATGTCTACACGATTTCCATGGATACACTAGATTTGTTAGAAATAACTGATTATACATTTATTGAAGCATATGTTCAACTAAATAGTTTCTCTTATCAAGACATGACATATCAACTTGATCCCATTAAAATAGGTGCTAATTGCACGACAGGTATTCGTACAGTTGTGCATCAGGGTGTCAACATAAAAGATAATGTATTAGTAGAATCAATGTCGTGTGTTACCGGTGATATTACAGTGACCAGTGTTGTAGATACAAAACAAGTTTATGGAATAAAGCGTTTGTTGAGTGACGACTCTACAAATATAAGCTTGCGCTTGAACTTTTTACAAATTTTGTATCAGTTTGTATATATATTGATAATTAGTGTGATAAACAATACCGGTCTCGTCACGGCTTGTTTAGTTTATTCAAGTCAAATATTTCCAGTGTCAATGTCAATGAAATCATATTTAATCTGCATTAGTATTCCAGTATTTTGGGTCTTTTGGTTAGTTATTAATATTGTTATAGCATTGTTTGTACTAGTTTATATTATTGGCAAAGTCGAACCGGGCAATTATCCGATAAATTCATGGTATGATATACATAAGTTATGGTTTCGCCAATTAATTGTCTGTAATTTTGATTATTCATTCCACCTATTTTTTATCTATAGTCCTTGTTTTCCTATTTTTCTAAGATGGATGGGTGCCAGAGTTGGAAATAATGTAAAGATTGCTCAATTTCATCGATTGTTGCACGCACCTTCTAATTTATTAATTATTAACGATCAAGTTACAACGAACTGTGAATGCATGCTGGTTCCTCATCAAGTTATAGATGGACGATGTATTGTTGACAAAATAACGGTTGGTACTGGTGCTATGTTAACTAATTATGTAACAATACATGGGGGTGGAACATTTGTGCCAAATTACTCAATCATCGGCAGTATGACATGTTATTTACCAAATAAAACATTTAAAGATTATGATGTTATTAGGTATACCAGCACGTAAAATGCCATTTAAAATGCCGCTCTTGAACAAGCGTACTCTCAATTACAAAATAAATAAAGTAAGCATTTGGAAAGATTTGCTACAAACTTTGTTAATACAACTAACTGCAAAAATGGTAATAATATTATATGTATTAATATGTGTCTCAACTATAAGTAGTATTAGTTTATATGGTACGCTTTTGTCCTTATCACTATTTGGTGTTATTTATTCTTTCATATTATGTATATGTTATCGTGTACTTAGCAGAGAGATTCGGGAATCAGAAATATATTCTTATGAAAATCTAATGAGTTGGCCTCGTTACTTAATTATGTCGATGTTATATGATTACGATAGATTTATAGCTTGCTTCATAGGTAGAACACAGTTACTAATTTGTGTACTACGTGGACTAGATGCCAGAATTGGAAATAATATTATTATTTCTGACTTTACAAGCTTAACTGATCCGCAGCTAGTTACAATAGTAGACCATGTTAGAATTAGACTCAAAGCAAGTGTACAAGTAATACAACGATACAGTGACTATATGCAATCGATAGTCCTACTAAAGGTATGTAAAGACTCTTGCCGCCTCGTGGAAAAATTATTCCTAACACGGTTTTTCCTCTGCCATAAGCTCTGAACTGAAGCGTTTTTTTAGCGCTATCAGAACAGCGAAATTGTTAATACCAACTTGACTTTTCCTTTCTTCATCGAATAATAAAAAATGCGCAATTTTTTAATTTTTACGTTGTTTCTACTCTTATCATCTCCTGTCTAAGTCTGCTCTCCGTCTTGTATACTACAATTTTTATATCGTTCGTCAAAACCTGAAAGTCTTTTTATGTTTGGCCATTATTTAAATGTATTTCAAGATCAATCATTTGAATATTTTCCTGGTACAAAATATCACTATAGAGTGAATGATGCAAATTGTAATTATAATTATTTTACAAGAGAAATAGAAAATTATGAATGGCAATATCATCATTTTGAAGAAATATTTGATATTAAAAATGATATACATAGAAATGATGTAGTGTATCGTAAAAAAGTTAGGAATTATTAACGAATCGATTAAGTTTACATTATAATGAGGAATACATGATGCAACAATCGAGCACAACTCAATACTACCAATGTAAGTAATTCAAGTATTAAAGGCATAAGCAGATGGGAAGCCGGAATAGAAATAATTCAGTAAATCTGTCTTTTTTCCAAATAAAAGCATTCGCAAGCTGACGTTCTGCTTGTAATTATATACTGAGTGTGAAATTCTGTCGAATTCTACACAGATTCACGTCATTTCACTATTGCAAATTCAGATGTTCTGATCAGAATCTGTATCTGACAACATGTTCATCGTTGTGCTTTGTAAGAGATAAAAATACAAATTAATTACCGTTTTAACTGTGAAAAGTGATGATTTACACTAACAATACAATTTCTTCAGTGATTGCGCTTACTTATGCTAGTAAGCGTTATACTCACAGACACACACGCCTGTTTCTTAAATAAAATTAAATTAAATGAAAGAAAGTAATCAAAAAATGACCTATCACGTGTAAAAAAGAAGAAACAGATTCTGCAAGAAAAATCAGGTTCGTATAAACAGGAATGGAAATGTCTCGAATGGTCCATGTAGATGAACCTCTGGTCTCTGTTCTCCCATCACACTGTCGAAAAACCCAAGTGTCAACACGACCAAAACGATTAAGGCGAAAACCACGACATCGTAGCGAAAAATCTCGTCTGAATTCCAACAAGAAAGCATCGAAACGTCATCGAAAAACTGATTTTAAATACGAACTTGTTAAACCAATTGATCCGCAATTTCATCCAACACAAGTTCGACGCATTCTCCATAGTTTAAACTTGAAATATTGAAGAATTATCATTAAAGATAATCGTTTATGTATTGGTTTAAAAAATGAGGAAAGCCGAGAAGAGTTTAATCGTCGTATTCCTCCGTTTCTATTTACAGCCGAACACTATCGTCAATTAAATGGTCCACCACAAACATCTCCACATCCACAAGATTTGCCTAAACCTCTAGAACTGCCTGATCAGCAGCAACATTGTCCTCATCGGAAACTTCGGTCAGTTTGGGACCGACTTGGATGACTTGGATAATGATTTTAAGTCTTAACATCAATTTACGTTGTGCTAATCTGTGTTTGTAATCTTCTTCTTCACCCCATTTTAATAAAATACTAAAATATAATCTTTCATAATCAGCACAAATCAGGGGTAAGTCATTCAAGTTATTCTAAATATCCTCATTTTCCAGTTCCAAAACAGGAATACAGTAGTAAGTTCAGGAGAAACGAATTCAGGGCAACTCTAATCTCCTGTGAGAGGAATTTAGTACTAACAGGTGATTTATGTTGTTTCAAGTTTAATTAATTAATTTCTTAATTAATTGTAGTATTAATATGTTACATAGAGACATATAACATTATATAATTGGTATCTGTCACCTAGAGACATGTGTTTGTGGTGTTTTAATTGAAAATAATGATTCATTTAATTAAAAACAGTATCAATGTGTCTCCTGGTGCTTTGTGAGGCTCGTAGAGACACAGCGATTCAACGAAATAGAAGTGCTAATATCTCACCAAGATAGGTATGAGTTATTTAGAGACATAGACTGATTCAAATAAAAAAATGGAATTTTATTCTACAACTGTATATACAAGTCTCTAAGTGAAATGTAAGTCTCTCAAAGACATATGCTTACTCGTACAAGAAGCGGAATTTTTATTCCAACAGGGCTATGTATAGGTCTATACGAGAGACATAAGTCTCCAAGAGCGTCTCTTAGAGACATGTCCAAACTCTTTTAAACGAATAAAAAGGTGTATTTTTATTGTGAAACTGTCGAAGGTAAATTCAAGCGTGTATTAGAAAAACATGTTTTGTAAATGTAAAAAATATTTTTTGTTGAATGGTAATAAACGTTAGTATAGTTATTAGTTTAAAGTGCGGCTGTCGCTGTGTGCCTACTTTCTTAAATCGGGGAGTTTGTCTATTAAGAAGCGTAGTGAGTTTGTATCAGATATATCTGTATATCTGAACGGGAGAGATATGTGTAACTTTGTGAGTTATGAGTCGCTCAGTGACATTTTCTAACTAAATCAATTGAATAAAAACTCTATGTTTTATTTTAAGAGGAAAGAATCACCCTCTCAGAGACCTATACGTTGCTCAGATACATATTCTGTTGATATTAAGAAGTTCAGCGACAGATATTGACTTCTATTTTCATTTTAGAATTCTTTGAATAACTTACTGAGAGACATAGAATAATATACAGTTCAACATATGTCACTATAAGACTTATACTAATATACTACTGTAACAACCCTCTTAGAGAGATATGCAGTTACCTTAATTCATTAATTAAACCAATTTAATTAACAACCATAGGTCTCTCGGAGACATGTGCTAATTAATTAAGAGAATTTTTCTCTGAAAGCCACGCTAAACGTTTTATGAAACTTGTAAAAAGTTTCATAAATATGTGATTTATAAAACTGGATTTATGAAGACAGGATATCCCCTTTTTACGACATTTGTTGTACTTCGTTTGTGGTTCAAAAATCATGTGTAAGTGTCTCATACCTACGTGTCTCATCAAAAGCATTCCAACATACGGGCAGCCTACTTGGTCACATACTGTTGATTACTTCGCACCTACAATCTCAATCACCCTCATTAAGTGTTGGTGAAAACTAGGCTTAATGATTAAGTGTGATGGGAGTGCGATTTGTTCTAAGCATCTTGGTGATATTTATTGAACAATACAGGTTAAAGATAGAGAGGAAATTCAACTACGACAGCGCTTCTCTTGTGTATACGTTACTTTTGTCATTATTCACAAGAGCAACGGTTAATTAGAGGCATTCTTCTTTTAATTTGAAAAATCGGCTGTATTTCTACAAAAAACTGTACATGATTCGATATCAGGCAGATGCTTGGAAGCAGCTTAGAATATAGCTAGATTATTTTACTTAAGTTGAACCATTGTTCCAAAAGAATTTTATTTCATTGTTGCGGAACAACCAGACCATTCTGAATTCATTGGTAAACAATCGTTCTTTATAATTAATGTGTTTGGATATAAATGATTGTTACCTTCTAGTTTACAACCTGGAAATACCATCGATAAACTACATAAAATTGAACCGGAACCAATTAAGGATGAACTTAGTTTGAATAAACGTTGCTCAAATGTGTGACACTACAAGAAAGAAAATACATTGCTACAAAAAAGGTACAATGTCACTGTATCGTTGTATTACTTGTACACTTGCTTTGGGTCTAATTCTAACATGGTCGTCTATGGTAACTAGCTGCGGATCAGTTAAGCTTGTAAAGTCAGAAATAATAACATCATTTCCAATTCTGGCACCTAGTCCACGTAGTACACAAATTAGTAACTGTGTTCCACCTATGAAGCAAGCTGTAAATCTATCGTAATCGTATAACATCGACATAATTAAGTAACGAGGCCAACTCATTATATTTTCATAAGAATATATTTCTGATTCCCGAATCTCTCTGCTAAGCACACGATAACATATACATAATATGAGAGAATAAATAACACCAAATAGTGATAAGGATAAAAGCGTACCATATAAACTAATACTACTTATAGTTGAGACACATATTAATACACATAATATTATTACCATTTTTGCAGCTAGTTGTATTAACAAAGTTTGTAGCAAATCTTTCCAACTGCTTACTTTATTTATTTTGTAATTGAGAGTACGCTTGTTCAAGAGCGGCATTTTAAATGGCATTTTACGTGCTGGTATACCTAATATAACATCATAGTCTTTAAATGTTTTATTTGGTAAATAACGTGTCATACTGCCCATGATCGAGTAATTTGGCACAAATGTT